TGCTATCACTACCACTACTGCTACCATTACTGCTACCACTACCACTGCTGCTACCACTACCGCTATCACTACCACTACTGCTACCATTACTGCTATCACTACCATTGCTACTATCACTACCACTACCACTGCTGCTACCACTACCGCTATCACTGCTACTACATGACTCACATCGCTGTAACCGCCGGCACTGGAGCAGAGTGTGCACAGCTTGTACGTGTGACCAGGCTCCAAGTGATCACAGTGAAATTCAAGCTCAGCTCCTGTGTAGATCACTTCAAACCCTATAATACATAACAACAGTTACTACATGTATACACTTAGCCACCCCCCCCCCCTCCCAGGGGCATCTATTACTCACAAGATAGTGTGGTCAGGTAGGTGTGCAACTGCAATAAGGGATGGAACTCAATTATATTACCATCATATTGTGCTATAAAGGCATTCTGAGGGTGCTTCAGGACACATAATAATAAGGTAATTTGTTTGCTAGGTATGTTATTTTGCACGTCTTCATGAACTGTACTGCACGGCTGCAAAATGCCCAAAGAGCTAGCTGTTAAGAGTTATAGTTTAAAATAAACAGACAAACCTACCCCTGCCATCATCCAGTTCCAACATATACTGTGATATTTCAGCACCACCATTATCCTTTGGCAGATCTAAGATAAGACAAAATAGATATTCATTACGAAATAATTCTATGGAATCATAACATTTGTATAAAGAGTTGTGGGAGTGAAACATGAATTAAAACATATAAATGTGTGTCTGGTGTGTTGCTCATGGACTGACTGTAATGACAATGACTGACATCTTACAGAAAATGCATTAAAATCAAATTAGACCAGCCAGGTCGCCATCACTATATTTACTCGTGTGGAGAACTGTGGATGCCACATTATACATGTTCTATATACAGGTAGGTCCCGTTTTACGACAGGGTTAGGTTCCAGTAAAACAGGGTTATAAAATGAAAAGTCGTAAAACAAGACCAAATTATAATGCAATTAAATGCTATCATTCCACCCACAATGCACCACACACAAAAAAACGCATATTGCGTGTTCTGACTCACAGGCGTTGCTGCGATGTTGTTATTGAGTTGCAATTTTTTTGGTTATTTTTAATTTTTTAGGTAATTTTGAAAAGGCTGTTAATGTGAAAAGGTGTAAAAATTAAATGGACCATCGTAAAACGGGACCTACCTGTACTGTATACAAGTGTAACTGAAAAAACATGGATGCGTAGTATCAGATACATACCCCATGAAACCTTAAAGCTGTTGGCGTGTATTCTACCTTTGAGGATTGGTTTAGAGGGTGCGCCGGGCTTGTCTGGCCGTGTCTTAAACACGACTGTTTCGCTCCATTTACTCTGCCCCTCCTCATTGTGTGCACACAGCTGAAATCATGACATGAATTATATTAAAGAAGACTTCACACGACAGAGATAGACAAACAATATTCATACAGCTAAGGCAAACTTTTGGAAAAGACAATGAAGTAAGTACAATATGAAAAAGCTTACCTATGCACGCACGCAGTCACACACACACGCAGGCACGCACGCAGTCACACACACACGCAGGCACGCATGCACGCAGGCAGTTATGCATGCACGCACGCAGTCACACACGCACGCAGGCAGTCACGCATGCACACAGGCAGTCACACACGCACGCAGGCAGTCACGCATGCACACAGGCAGTCACGCATGCACGCAGGCACGCACGCAGTCACACACGCACACAGGCACGCAGGCAGTCATGCATGCACACAGACACGCACGCAGTCACACATGCACACTTACTTTAAATGTATACGCAGTATTTCTCCTCAGCCCCCCCATGGCATACATCGTGTCTCTGCCATTGTACACAGGAAGGAAGCCATGGCCCTACACACACAGAGAAACGATATTATATTACAGACGTAGACAACATTTAACCAATCCAATTAGTTATTCACCAGTGTGCACTACTACGAGTGAAATTGTCTAGCAGGTGAATACACTGAGGGAGGGAGTTGATGCTCACCGATAAATCATCCTCCATTTGTAACGTGAAGTCATCATCGCTTGGTCGCCTGCTCCAAACCAGTGCAAGCTTTGAAATAAATGCATCTTTCAATTGTGGGGCATCTGGTTGCGACGGAACACTGCCACTTGTGGAATAGCAAACTATGTCACTGTAATCACTGTAACAGAATCAAGAGTAACACAGGTCAATCAAGTGTAAGCCACGATAAACGGAAAGGATTTCAGCGCAACTACTGCGTTTCTATTACAATCTGAACTTTACTCTCATACTTTGACACTACTGCTCAGGAATGATCATGTTTCGACTCCAGAAACAATTAATGACTTTCTGACACTATAATAACGACATCACACCTAGTACCGATGTGTACCTAGCATGCCTTATCCTAGCCCCACCCCACATGCACCCCAACACCCTACTCCAACACCTGCAATCACCCCCAGCACCCCCACCCCCTAGCCTGCAATCACCAACCTTTTGCCAATCTCATTGACAGCGTAAAGTCGGAAGCGGTAACATGTGGAAGCCTGTAATTTGGTGACTTTGAACTGCCGTGTGAGGTCACAGTATATCTCCGTGAAATTGTCTTCACCTTTTCCCTCGTCGTACTCAAGGCAATAGCCAAGCATCTTAGAACCATTATCGGCAGTGGACTACACAAACAACACAATGAGAATTAAACATGGAACCACAGCAAACCTCTCATTGCTTGCTAAACATCTAGTGATAAGACAACACATTACACTTAGAAACTAACCGACTTATTCAACCAGGGAAATGAGGAAACACTTCATGTAGACTAAATGAACTTATTATCACATAAAAACAGTGGCAACTGCTGTCAGAGAAAGACGTGCAATAAAGTAGATATGAAGCTCAGGTAGTAGAGATGATGCAATGGATACAAGCCTGCCACTTACATTCCATTTCAAGGATATGCTGGTTTTGGTCCTGTTGACAAATTTTGGTGGCTGTGGTGTTTCTGGCTCACAGGAAATTGTTGTGAAGCTCACCACTGTAATGAAAAAAAGAAATCGAATATGACCATGAAGCTACAGAGCTGGCGAACTTTTCTCACGTGGCAACCCCTGGTAGCCATCGACGTAGTTAGCAGAACAGGAGAGATCAGATTGATGCCAGCACTCATGTTTGTAGGCATTTGATGCCACATTCACAGCGCAACACCAGTTTTCAATTCTCATGACTGTGAGTCAGGGTACTAACAGATAAAGGCAACTATGTCCATAGGTCTTACTATAAGAAACCATAACAGTTTCCTTATAAAGGCTGCAACTTCATAATATTCCCTCCCAAGCTTCCCAGCTAAAGCTTATATCACATCCAACTCTCAACATCCACATATAAATAATAAAAGATATATGAAATTATAATAATAATTATTTTGCATAACATAACACTTGGAAAATTGCATATTGGTTGATACATACTTTCTGATCTGTCTCCCTTGAGGTCATCCAACAATGCTGAAATGCTGAAATGAATACAAACATAATAATTGTTGTACTGTTCTGTATGAGAAATCCTAGGCAGTTATCTGGATTATTGAGTTATGCAAGAACAAACAAAGCAATTAGATCAGTAGATAGCAATTGTAAACTAGAAAGGGCAGTTGTTGCCAACTACATGTATCCCCTGTGTTCTCCCCAAGATGTGTAAGTATACGAAGTTTGGTCGCGCTAGGTCAATTAGGGGCCGAGTTATAGAGCGGAAGGGAAATATGATGAAGGTCAAGGTCAAGGTCAATGTCAAACAAAGGTCGCAGTGACCTGGTTTCGGTACGTGACACACCTTCTCCCCAAGATGTGTAAGTATACCAAGTTTGGTCGCGCTAGGTGAATGAGGGGCCGAGTTATAGAGCAGAAGGAAAATATGATCAAAGTCAAGGTAAAGGTCAAATAAAGATCATAGTGACCTGGTTTTGGTACGCGACACACATTCTCCCAAAGATGTGTAAGTATACCAAGTTTGGTAGCGCTAGGTCAATTAGGGGCCGAGTTATGGAGCGGAAGGGAAATATGATCAAGGTCAAGGTAAAGGTCAAATAAAGGTCGTAGTAACCTGGTTTTGGTAGCGCTAGGTCGATTAAGGGCGGAGTTATAAATCGGGAAGGAAAATATGATCAAGCGTCAGGTTAAAGGTACAATTTTAAAAGGTTGCGTGACCTGTTTTGTACGCTGCCTACTTGCTCCCCAGAATGTTGTAAGTATACCAATGTTTCGTGTGAGCGCGTAGTCAAATTAGGGAGTTCGTAGTTATTAGGAGCGGAAGGGAAATTGTCTGCGGCGGCGGCGGCTGGGGAGACATGAAACCATAGTATCCCCGCCGACTTCGTCGCGGGGGATACAATTACACACTTTACACAATTATTGTAATGAAAGTGTCAATGACACTATAGCTCACCTTGGGTGTGATAAGAGGGAGATGATATTTAAAATTTGGTAAGTGTTTCATTTACGATGGACCGAAATGTGATCAAATGTCCTTATTACCTGTTTTATACTAATAGAAATTTCACTCTTTTGTTTCAGGGTTAGTTTTGATGCGATAAATGTTTCAGATTTGAAAGTATGAAATCTGGGCGAGAGATGGTGCTACACCTAAATGATCGCCATTTTGGTTTTCGATTATTGCGCAAATAAAAGCAATAACATATTCCAGTCAAATTACTGTAACAAAGAATCTAAAACACAATATTACACATAGGTATGATTAGGTAGGTAGGTAGGTAGATAGGTAGGTAGGTAGGTAAATTGAATGAATTGTAAGTAATCGAATGAATCGAGATGGCTATGGCCAAAAAGTGGGCGTGGCTCGAAAGTAGGTCGACAGGCGTGCTTCAAAATAGGACGTTCAAATCTCTCCCATAGGAGTGACAACTGTATGCAATTTTAAACATGTGGGTCAAACGGTTCTTGAGTTATCGTTGACCGTAGGCAGACACTGAAATGCCTAGTAAAATTGCCAAAATCTACCTAATTTGCATAATTTAAAAAGAATATTAAAACCACTGTGATGTTTTGGGGCCAGTCCTTATAATTATTCATTCATATACCAAAAATGAGGAAAATCCGTTCAACCTGAACTGACTTATGGCCATTTCCATTTTTGCCAAAAAGTGGGCATGGCTCGAAAATAGGTCAACTGGCTTGCTCCAAAATAGGACGTTCACATCTCTCCCATAGGAGTAACAACTGTATGCAATTTGAAACATGTGGGTCAAACAGTTCTCCAGTTATCGTGGACCGTAGCCAAATGTTGACGGACGGACGGATGGACGAACGGACGTACGACGGACAACGCACCATGGCAATAGCTCATCTTGACGATGTCAATGCGAGCTAAACATATATACACGTGCTGAATATTTTTAGGCAAGCCCACTCGTACCACACTTATCAGTACAGATGACATTTACTATCAGATCAATGGATGCCATTACCATAACTAATTAACTATTAGCATTCATTTAGTATATTGTTGTGCAGAGGTAGCAATCACTCACAGAACATTGCTGCCTCCTACACTTGCATGCATGTTAAGTGAACCATATGAACTTCAGGCTCTCATGAGCACACATCAGCATAAAATATACAATTTATTCTCAAGTAAACACCAGATTAATCTAGTGATAATTAAAGGGCCAACTATGCTACCAACACTTACTATATCCAGTACTCAGTGGCAGGTTTCAAATCCTTCATTAGATGCTCCAAGGCATCCCCACTGAAACATATTTACACGGCATGTTATTAGCGTGTGCAATCAATCGTTCATAAGCAGGCCAGAAAACGCGAAAATATTTACATCGGACCAGTGGTAAGTGTTTCACGAAGCAGGGGTTTTTGTTAAGCTAATTTGTTTCTGTGGTGCAGGCGTCACCTACTGTGTGGTAAGCCAACCTATGTAGCGATATTTTTCTTTTACAGTAGCGCGTCTAGACACAGCTTTGTTTAAATTTGTTAACGTGGCAATTCGCTAGACGTCACGTGTGTGTGTTAGAAGCCAGTTAGAGTTGTAGCCAGTGCGTGTTCGGCGTGTAACTGGCAGTAGTTGAGTAGAGCTAGCGCAAGGCAGTTCGCTGTAATTTGGTCGGCACGATGAAATTGTATCCTGTCAAAGAAGTAAGTGATAATTTAGATACTTTTATTTGAGCTTAATGGTTAATTTGTGTGGTCCCGTTCGCGTGTATATTTACATAGGAATTTTGCATAGGTAAAGTCACTGTGCATGCGATAGTTGTAGGGAATTATTATAGAGTGCTCAGTGTGGCAGTAGAAAATGCTTAGACAGGAATTATTGTATTTAAAACGCAGTACTAAGCTGAAGTTATACTTTATTTTCTTATATAGCGCCCTACACCGCAGGTCATGTAGAATGAGGATAAATGTCGATGTTTAATATGACATATGCCGTGACAATGACGTTAAATACTCGTAGCCAACGGAAATTAAGCGAATGTAAGGTTACAACGTGTGACAAAATGTTTATTTTAGGTGGATAAGGTGTGGCTATTCTAAATATTGATGGCAGCTTGTATTTTGAGGCATTGCTTGTTCTACAACTGTACTTTCGAGGTGGCAAACAGATAGAGTGTATTATTTGCTTCAGTAATTATTGATTTGAAGTAGAGTAATAAATTCTCGTTAAAAAAGAAGAACGCATTGAATTACTGAGAATTACTTGGTTGTCCGTAACGCTTGTTTGTGCTATGTATCAGTCTCTATTTTTACTTGTTCTATGTGTATTGTAATGGTTAGTATCTTTATTTGTAATATTTATTTACAGATCGAATAAAAACCAAATATATCGGTTCAAGGCAGGACGCAAAGTTTTGGTTCCCTTTCTCGACTGTTCATAACATTCGATTTCTTGCTAACCTGGGATAGAAGATTGAGGGAATACAGTAGCAATGGCTCAAGAAGCTAAGGATCTCAAGATCAAGCGCAGGAGTGCTAAGGCGAAGCTGACCCGATTATCAAATGCCATACAGCAACTTCTGGATAGCGACAGAGAAGTAGATGAGGTAACAGAGTGCGTGAAGCAGTTAGAGCTGGCCTACCAGGATCTGCAAATTAAGCATGAGGCCTATTGTATGCTCATCCAAGACGATGAAGAATTCGAGAAGGAAGAAGTCTGGATGAAAGACTGCCAGACTGTCTTTATGACCATGAAAATGCAAGTAAAGGATCATTATAAGGAGCAGGCGACTGATGTAAAGGTAGAAGGCGTAAATGAGGTTCTTGCATCTACGGACACAGAGCGAGGTGGGTTAGAAATTCAGACGAGGCCCAGTCCTAGTCCACAAGTAGAGGCTACAGCGTGCAAAGTACAGATGGAGCGGCCGAGGCTCCCACGTTTCAGTGGTGATGTAAGGGAATATGCGATCTTTAGATCCGACTTTCACCACCTAATTGACAGCAGGTACAGCAAGCGAGACGCAATTACTCTCCTGCGTACGTGCTTGCAGGGAACGCCGGCAGATCTGATAAGAGGAATCGGCAACGATTACGATGCTGCATGGGCGCATTTAGATAACATCTATGGGGATCCACGCTTCGTGTCAGATGCCATTGTTCATGACTTGGGAAAGTTTCGCCCGCTTAAGGAAGGTGAGGATGCACGATTTTGTGACCTGGTGCATCTGGTGCGGAGAAGCTACAACACGCTTAAGGAAGTGGGTCAAACACATGACATGGACAACAGCCACATGCTAGCTATGGTGGAAAGGAAAATGAGCCAGGAAGACAGAAAGGTGTGGTTCGCATCGGAAAGCGTGAAAACGGCACCATCCTTCCTGCTGATGTTGGACTGGATGGCTGGAGAGTTAAAGGCAAGACTTCGAGCATTAGCCCCTCTAAGAGATGGCAAATTAATGGCTTCTATTAGTCATATAGCAAGGAGGGCAGCAACCCGAAGGATCAGTGGCCAATTTAAATGCTGGCTCTGCAAATCAGATCAACTTGGTTGACCAGTGTAAGAAGATTCTTTCTAAGAGGCAACCTGATAGATTTCAGCTGATGAAGGACAACCATGCTTGTTTTAGTTGTCTCAAGAAAGCTGGTAGGGAGCACCGGATGACGAACTGCAAGAGAAGGAAGAGATGCACGGAGCTAGTTAATGGGGCGCAGTGTCAGTCTTTTCATCACCCATTACTACACAGGCATACACAGACTGTAAGCGTAGAGGTGGCAAGTGTGGCAGGCAAGGCAGCACTTTTACCGGTTCTGTCTGTAAAGATCTTAGGCCCTGAACGAATGAGTTCGACAGTTAATTGTCTCCTTGATTCAGGTGCCCAGATTAGTCTGGTGAAGCAGTCGCTAGCAGAGGAGTTGAACCTGAAAGGAAGACCGATATCCATCAACATTACGAAAGTTGGAGGCGATGTTGAAGAAGTGCACACAAAATTCTATCGTATGAAACTGCAGTCACTTGACGACAAGCGTGTTTATGGAGTGTCAGCTGTTGGGCTTCAGTGCATCAACAACGACATAGCAGAGGTACAGATAGAAGATCTTGCCAAGACATTTCACCTGAATAAGAGGAATGTACACCGTGGAGTGGTTCCATCGACGTTCTGGTGGGGATCGACCATGCCTACCTACATGAAGGAGAAACCAAACAGGAAGGGAGCTTGGTAGCAAGGCATTCTCCATTAGGATGGGTGGTATTTGGAGCTACCCAAGAGGCAGCCCGCCACCGTGCAGTCCTGAATGTAATGCTGTCAAGCCCAGTAGATTTAAAGGACTTTTGGACAACAGAATCGATGGGAGTATGCCATGATTCTTGTCGGTGCCAACCACATGGGCTTAGCAGTCAAGAAGTAGAGGAATGTAAGTTGATAAATAATTCTTGTCGGAAGGTTGGCAACCAATGGCTTGTACCGTACCATGGTTAAGGATCCAGGCTTGCTTCCGCGACAACAAGGTGCAAGTGAGAGGATGTTGTGTGCTACGAGAAAAAGCTGACTAAAGATCCACAGCATGCAGAGCATATGACAATCAGATAAGAGATGTGGGAAATGGGCTTTGCCAAAAAATTATCTGATCAGGAAGTGAAGTCATATAAGGCCAGTACACTACAATCTCTATCTATGCTATCATTAGACCTGAGAAGAAGAGTACCCCATCCGAATTGTATTCAATTCGTCGGCTCTTACCAGGGCCAGTCTTTTGAACAACTATTGGATGAAGGGACCAGATCTTCTCAATGGCTTGTCGGGGTATTGCTATAGTTAGAGAGCATGAGAGTGCCTTGTGTGGGAGATATCCAAAATGTACACAGAGTGTGATACCCAAGAAAGATCAACATGTTCACCGCTTTCTGTGGAGAAAACCCTGAACTGGACGGAAGCCGGATGTATACAAATGAGGGTGGTCACTTTTGGTGACAAACCAGCCGCAGCATTAGCACAGATAGCATTGCGGAAGACAGCTGAAGAAGGGGCAGAGAGATATCACATGCAGCAGCGGCAGTGATAGTCTATCGCTTGCGGGGAAGTTCTGTTGTGCATTTATATGTCCCGTCAGGTTTGACGTTGATTCATGTAGGAACCCCTGGGAGTAAAAAAACTTGGAGTAGACATTCTGAATCATCGGGAAGGATAGGGAATAATTCAAGATGGCTTCAAGAGGCCGTCAATTCACTGTAATTGACCATAAACTCGCCACCTATTTATGATTGGAGGGTTTTTGATTTTCGGGGTGGTATCCCTATGTTTTATGGTCAGGCTATCCATTAAAACTAATACGCTACCGAAAAATGCATTGCATTCATTGTTAAATTAAGCATGGCACCGAAAGGGACACACGGTATCATATAAATGCTATACTTTCTCGCAGACTTATGATAGAAGGGTAATTTTCGTGTCTATCCTATGTTTTAGGGGTCAGGTTATTACCACTTGGACTAATTAAACAGATTAAAACGCACTGGCATCACTATCAAAGCTAAGATATGGCCGACCAATATGCACTGACGCGTCATTTATTGACAACTTTTTCACATATTCGGCTAATAATCTAGCCCAGCATTTACAGTCTACATGATATTATTGTGTAACGGTAACTTTAATACTGATCACTGTGTTCCTGCCATGTCCTACCTTCACCGGTAACAGAGTACAAAGACAGTGGATATACCGCCTCAAACACTTTCAGCGGTATACCTGGTCACTTAGGCAGAATAAATAGCTCTTGCATGTGACGAAGCAGTTTTACCACATAGCAGAGGCAAATTCGATGTTGTGGCGCCTCAGCTTGAATTTCAAAATATTTCGATGTGTCTTCCGGATCCGTTCCATTTTATGGTCAAGATTTTCTCGGGTGTATTGCGGAAAATACTTGGCTGTAGGTGGAGCAGTAAAGTTAATCTTGGATAGAAAACGGTATCTTTGGCCCTAACGTGACCACAGGCAGTCTTGGGCTGGCTCGTATTATGTGCGGGCCTTTGGCAGGTATGACATTGCCTATCTGGAAACAATGAAAAGCGACTTCAGTGGGAAGCATTCTTTGATGAATTGGCACATAGCAAGTACCAGAGCCCTCTGGGCATCTGAGGGAAATGAGAAGCAAGTGTCTTGGACAAAGATCACGTTAGAAAAGTCACAGCTGCTTTGCGATTATCGCTACTCATAGGTATCTGTTTGATGACTTCTGAAGAAGTTCAACGACAGTAACGAGCGAGAGAAGTCAAAATTTAGATACCTGGGCTACATTCATTGTATGGTCATTTGCAAAGGACCTTGATGGCGAGCTGATCGGGAAGGGAATTGGCACTACATTGGAAACTGTTGAGCTATCTGCCCTTACTTCACAAATTTGACTCGACCAACTACCTTCGCTGGCGTTACCTTATAACCTGGCAGACATGGCCAAAGGTCTGCCTGAGGACGCACCAGCTATCTCATGAAAACTTTGTGAATCAAGAGCGTTTGTCAGCTCATTACAGCCGTTGTGCAATGGACATGTGTTAGAGCAAACGATAAACCGTCCTCAAGAGCAGTGCCGGTATCATTCGGAGCAACCAGGAAGAGCCAATACGTCTACGAAATGGAATATCATTCACCATGAAATGATGTCTGTTACCACCCCTGTTCTAGGGCGATAAGCGGAGGTCAGAATGGCACCGATTTCAGAGTGAGTTGTCAACCATAAATTCACCACTGGACCGTAAACTGAAGGCGGGGAGCAAAAGGTTGATTGACATGATGGCATATTTGGTACCCATGAGATCCGTTCAAAGTTGTCCGAAGATACGAACAACGGCTGCAAAACATCCTGTTGCGTCTGCCATTATGCCTGATGATGTTTGAAAAGGATCTCGGTGACGAATGGCTCAGCAGGAAACGTGTTCTGGTGTGAGAGGTAACAATGAATTTCGAAAGGAATAGGACTAATAGACAAACGAAGTGCCTCTGAAGTTGATAGTTATTATAAACGGAACTTGAAAGCGTTTGTTACCGCGCATCGGTGATAAGAAGGAAAACCATCAATATCAAACACAAACAAGGAGAGAAGGATTTTGGGTAGCACGAAGAAGTTAGAGCTATTGCTCGAGATTACGCGCGTTGTGTGCATACCGATATGTGTGTCACACTGACCTCGTTGGTGTCTCCAGTTACCTCTTTGATGACCGATGCGCCGTTCTATCGCACCGACAACCTGCAAGTCCTGAACTGACAAACGATTCTCGGAAAAGAAGCTGACCCCCAGCGGTGCTGAATTACAAGCTCCGTTCTCAAGTGGACGGCAATGCCAACACTGGACTACTTTGTGAGACTGTCATGGCAGTATGTTGAGAAAGATTAGAAACGTCGTCATTGAGACATTGGAGATTTCTGTACGAGGTATTTTTGAAACGTCAATTTGGCTTGGTGTCATATGCCAGCACGTATCGACTTTGTTTTTCGATTCTCATGAAGGCATCTGTGAAAGGACAGTGAACGAACGCGAGGACATGAGACACGATTCAGTAGTACAGTATTTCAATATCTGAGGACTAATGCAAAGGAAATGACAGCTTCTGGGCTCAGCGGCACATATGCGCTAGACTAGAGGAACCATGCTAACTATGTTATTTGATTAGGAACCAATGTCCTTACCACGAGTCCCTGGTGTGGAAATTGTAGTTAGCCAAATTGGAAGGGAGCACATGCAAGGTGTACTAACGAAGACAAGGTCTGTCCATTCGGGGAATTACAAACGATACATACTGAACTCGATTCTACTCTGGAAGAAGCGGTATGTTCTACATGCCATGTTTTGCTTGCTATTAGGATCGGGGTGTCAAGAAGATTGTGTGCTGTCAAGGTGACACTGATGTTTAGGTGCTGTTTGTTACATTTTCAGCACGATCTTTTAAACGCCATATAAATCGGTTAGAACATGTTGATTAGAGAGCAGAGCGTGTAGAGGGTCAGTATCAGGTACATCCTTAGTACAACTGTAATTGGCAGCAAAGCAGAGCGCCGTGAATTAATGTGATGTTACTGCTGGCCTTTCATGCTTGGAATCGTATGTGACATCACAATCGCAAAAAATTTGGCACACAATTGGCAGCGCTCAAAGCGAACCACATAGACACGCTCAAGGACTTCCGGGTAGAACTCGGTCACATTTTGTGTCTAGCTTGACCCGGAACTATATTCTTTGGTACAGCATTCCGTGAACATTGGTGACCATATATAAAAATATGGATGAATTACGACTTAGTCTATACTCTCACAGGCAAGTCTGTGACCGTATCATGGACTTGCCACGACTAGCCACGCAGCTAACAGGGACATATTCCCCAGAGCCTTTTATCCACCTATAGTTCAAGATGACTGTTTGAGTGTCCTTAACTCTGGATACCTACGACTTTGGATTCGAATTATTAGATGGTATGCTTGTTCCAGGTAGGTTCCATCTACCTTGCCGGACGATGTTTTCGTTGTGATGTTTCTGTTGTGAAGTGTTCTACGCAAGTGTGCTGTGTGTCAACAGAATGGTACCAAGTGTTGCAAATTTTGCAAATGCCCGACCGAACAAAGTCATGACTGCAGAAACACAATTGGTATCTAAGGACACAGTGATATCAGTATTAAAGTTACCCTTACCATATATATCATGCGTATAACTGCTAACATGCTGCTAGTATCATATAGCGATATGCTGAAAAGTTGCAATAAATGACGGTCATATTTTGTGGTCATCTTAAGGCTTTGATGAGCTGGATGCTACGGGGCGCCAATGCCAGGACAGGCTTTTGTACTAATAACTGACAAAAATGAGTTTTTGAACACGAAAATCAATGTCTGTCAATTCCTCGTCCCACTAAACTCAATTTGGTGAACACAAACTCAATTCGTCCCACAAAACTCACATTTTTTTGGTGAACACAAAACATCAATTCTGTCAATCCTGTCCCACAAAACTCAATTTCTGTCAATTCCTGTACCACATAAACTCAATTTCCCTCGTTAACACACAAACTCAATTCTGTCGGAACCGGTTTCCACAAAACTCGTTTTTGTTTGCCAAAGTGTATGGCACAACGCATGTAGAAGGGCTAACCATTAGTCAGGAACTGGGCTGGAGAAATGTGGTCACGTCGCCATCTTAACTTGTTTCTTTTAACTTAGTGACTCGGCATTTCAGCCCAGTTTCTTGACAATGTAGCCCTTCTTTACAGTGCTCGTAGTGCCATTATTTGGGCAACAAAAATCGAGTTTTGTGGAAACCGGGTTCGACAGAATTGAGTTTTGTGGAACAGGATTGAAGAATGGAAGTTTCTGTGTTTACAATGAGTTTTGTGGCCGACCAGGGATTGACGAATGATTGTTGACACTTCCTGTGTTCACAACAACTTGAGTTTTGCTGGAGGACAGGATTGACAGAATGAGTTTTGTGTTCAACAAACATTGACTTTTGTGAGACAGAAATCTGAGTTTTTGTGCCACAAAAGTGAGTTTTGTTAGACAGACCTTGAGCCCTGTCCTGCATTGGCGCCCGTAGATTGCAGTGGCGTTTTTAATCTACGTTATTAGATCCTCAGTCGGCAAACTTGACTAAAACATACGGGATAGAACGGAAAATTACTCTTTCTTCATAACAGACTGGCGAGAAGTTAAGCAGTTTTCATGATCGGATGTCCCTTTTGGCGGCCATCTTAGATTTAACAATGATGGCAATACCATTTTCGATACCGGGTATTAGTTTTAAGGACTAGCCTACCATAAACAACTAGGAATAGCCACCAAAATCAACCTCCTATCATAAATAGGTGGCGAGTTATGGTCAATTACATGACTTGACGGCCATATTGAACGCCATCTTGAATTTCACCTATCCTTCCATGATTCGAATGTCTACCCAAGTTTTTTTTATCCCAGGGGTGTCCCCTACATGAATCAAGGCGTCAAACTGCGGGACATATAAAATGCACACAGGACTTGCCCCAGCTGATAGACTATGAAGCAGAATTCATACATGGATGACATTTGTGTGTCGGTTCCAACGGTGACTGAAGCTGAGGGAGCTTAGTGACGCATTGACCGGGTGTTAGCCGAATGGAGGCCTTAAGGGTTGAAAGAATGGAGATTAAACAACCGTTAGGGTGGGCAAACCAGCACGAGTCCGGAGAAGGAAAACTAAGCTGCTAGAGACAGCGAGTAATGAGAAGTGCTTGGAGTTGTGTGGAATAGTGACTCGATATTCTTTTCATACAAGGTGAAACTGAAGGATGATATAGCCTACACCAAGAGTAATGCTCCCAGCAGGATGACAAAGAGAAGCATCTTGAGTCGCGTGGGCTCGTATTTTTGACCGATTGGTTTTGCCGCAGCGTTCGTAATACGAGCGAAAATTGGGGCTACAACAGCTGTGGGGTGAAGGACTTGTTGGGATGCAGAGCTGCCTGCTAGAGAGTCAAGTGAATGGAGGAAGTTATTTTTCCAGAAAATGAGGAAAGCTGAGCAATGTTGCGTTTGAGAGATGCCTGACACCTAACAAGGTTATTGGTAGAACGACACTGTGCATCTTTTGTTGATGCATCGATGGATGCATTCGGAGCATGTGCTTACTTACGGTGGGAGACAGCGGAACAAAGCTATGTAAGTGCGGTTTGTGGGCAGCCAAATCACGGGTGGACCACTGAAGCAACCTAACTGTCCCACGGCTGGATTGCAAGCAGCAGTATTTGGAAGCAGATGTATAGGACAATCAAGATGAGATTGGCCATGGAGTTGAATCGGGTTATCTTCATGACAGACAGTATGATTGCCTTATCGTGGATAAAGAACAAAGCTAAAAGCTTCAAGATGTTCGTCTCGACAAGAGTGGGAGAAATCCAAAGTGCCACAGATCCAAGTCAATGGCGACACATACCAGGAGAGGTCAACGTTGCAGATGATCTTACCAGAGGATTAAATGCTGATCAGTTGAACGGAAGATGGCAGTATGGACCTGACTTTTTGCGCAAGCCTAAGGCAGAGTGGCCAAAGGAAGCAAAGACCGAGGAAAAGCTATCAGAAGTTGAAAAGGAAAGACGAAAGGAGCAATCAGTGTTGTTGGTAACTAAACCAGGGGAAGAGGTAATTGATTGTAAAAGATTCTCCAGTTGGAGGAAGCTGATCAGAGTTACTTCATATGTGCTAAAGTTTGTGAACAGGTTAAAATCAAGATACAGAAACAGGGATGAACAGGGTGACAGAGAAGGCGACAGTATTTTAACACCTGCTGAGTTACAGAAAGGAGAGACATTCCTAATTCAGAGTGCTCAGACGTGTTTGAGATCCCGAGTCGAAAAGGGAGAAATGAAAGCGCTCAGTCCGTTTATAGATGATGCAGGCATTATTAGAGTAGGAGGCAGAGTAGACAGGGCTAAAATGCCGTTTGAAATAAAGCACCCAGCTCTGCTTCCTTACGACAACTGGATATCGACACTGATAACGCGACATGTTCATGAGAGTGGTCATGGCGGAGTTGCGGCTACCACAGCAAAGACTAGAAGAAACTACTGGATTCTAAAAGGGCATAAACTTGCAAAGACTGTGAAGTTCAGATGTACCGTATGCAGAGCATTCGATCACAAAACAGAAACACAGGAAATGGCAGAGTTACCCATAGAACGACTAGCCCCGCATACACCACCATTTCACCATACAGCATGTGACTATTTCGGGCCATTTCCAGTGAAAGTTGGACGTAACAAGACTGCTAAACACTATGAAGTTCTGTTCACATGTTTAAACACAAGAGCAGTCCATTTAGAGCTTGCTGTTGATTGCTCTAGCATGGAGTTCATACAGGTGCTGCGTCGATTCATCGCGATTAGGGGTCAGCCAGTAACAATCCTAAGTGACAATGGAACGCAATTTGTGGGAGCAGAACGTGAGTTGAGGAGTATGGTGCAAGGCTGGTCTGGTGATAGGCTGAGAGAATTCTGTGCAGAAAGGGGCATGGAGTGGAAATTCATCACGCCTGGAGCGCCACACCAAAATGGATGTGCCGAATCATTGGTGAAAAGCTGCAAGTATGCTCTCAAGAAGGCTATTGGAGAGCAAACTTTAACGCCCTTCGAGCTATACACGTGCCTACTAGAGGTTGCTAATCTAGTGAATCAACGGCCGATTGGCAGAATCCCAACCGATCCTGATGACGGAAGCTACCTGAGTCCTAATGACATGCTGTTAGGACGGGCTTCCAGCGATGTCTCACAAGGGCCATTCCGCGAAACTAGAAATCCCAGGCATCGGGTCGAACTCGTTCAGCGCATCGTCGACTCATTTTGGCAGCGTTGGACAAGGGATGTTCTTCCTTTGTTAGCGCCACGACGGAAGTGGAACGTTGACCGCCGTAACGTTCGCGTTGACGACATAGTGATGATGGCTGATGCTAATGCTGTGCGTGGAAAATGGACTATCGCCCGCATTACGCAAGTGTACCCCGGTCTAGATGGAAAAGTTCGCAACGTAAAGGCAAAGACACCGACTGCAGAATACCGCCGTCCAATTACTAAGATCGCGGTTATTTACCCGGCTGAGGGTTATGATGTTTAAATAGCATGAGATTAAGTGTGTTTGTCATCATGAGGAAAATTCCCTCATTGGGCGGGGAGGATGTTTCACGAAGCAGGGGTTTTGTTAAGCTAGTTTGTTTCGATGGTGCAGGCGTCACCTACTGTGTGGTAAGCCAACCTATGTAACTGCGTGCACGGCGTGTAACTGGCAGTAGTTGAGTAGAGCTAGGGCAAGGCAGTTCGCTGTGATTTGGTCGGCACGATGAAATTG